GTGGCCTGGCCGAGCCCCGCACCCCACGGCCCTCTGCGGACTAGTTCACGAGCTTCCCTGGCCGGCCTAGGCCCTGCTTCCCGCAACCTTCCCCACCTCGGGGGCTCCTGCCCATCGCCAGCCCCTGGCAGGGCTCGACCCTCGTCCCCGGTCCACACCCAGACTGGGGGACTCTGTGCCCCGCAGCCACTGACCTGCCCCACTCCATCCGCTGCTCCCGACCTCAAGAGGCAGTTCAACTGCGGACAGAGAGCTTGGGCTCTGACATAAAATCTGGCCTGAATCTTAGTGACCTTGGGCAAGTCATCTCACTTCCTGAGGTTTTCTGGTTCGACACGAATACAGTGGGAATGATACTGATACAGAACTTTGCTGTCTGAGGGTTAGACAGAAAATGCCTGTCTGTCCTCGAGGAGTGTAAGGCCTTCCTTATGAGGGAAAGAAATGAGTGGGAAGAGTCAGGCCATGAGTTGACTTGGGAAAGCGCATATAAAATGCCTACTGTACACTAAAATATGAAGACAGCAGCTAAGGAGAAATCATTGCCGCTGTGCAACAAATCTGCAGCGTTACTTTCGGGTCCCGCCTCCTTACTTGTAACCAGGTGCATGTGATAGGAATTCATTCCGTGTTACTGTAGCTAATATGCCTGCTTAAGACAGGTGTTCCAACTTCACATTTTTCTGGTTTTATGGCTTTAATCACATCGACCTCCTGGACCTATTTATGGTCCCAGAGATAAAGAGTAGCTTGTATGCTTGAAAAAGAACACCGGCAACCTTTATTTAATATTTAGGCAGAGCAAATAGCTATTCATTTACACCCCTCCTCAGATCACCGAGCTTTATAGTTCTGCCTTCGTAACTTTGTTCCAAATTGTGATCTCGGCTTCCTCTTTCTTATAGTCCCAAAGTTAGTACAAAGACCTAGGTTTACTTTCCCTCCATTTCCTTTATTTCTCAGGTTTCTCTGCCAAAACCTTTACGTCTATTCTGTCCCCTGCTTTTCCTCCCTTTTCCCTTTCCAGCCTCTGATTCCTAACTTTTTTTCCCAAGTTATTGCAAAGGAGTGATTTATAATTACATTATATCAGAATCATAATTATCAACCTTGACACAAAGGTACACAGAAGTGTGTGTGTGTGTGTGTGTGTGTGTGTGTGTGTGTGCGCGCGCACGCGCGCAGGGGGTTGCAAATTTGAGGTTCCAAGAACTCTGAGTTGGGAAGAGATAGTAATACCCACTTGATAGGATTATATTGAGAATGAAATAAAGTTTGGTAACTTATGTAAAGCTTCTAGTATAAGTGGCTGGCATATAATAACCACCCACTAAATTATAGCTGCTGTAACCACCTTCTGATCTGGGGGTCCTTCCCTTGATCGCTTTGCTGTTCTGCGGTGAAGGGTGTGGGCTTCAGAGAGGGGCTGCTCGCGTTCAGGTCCGTGCTCTAGGCGCTCTCTCCCTGACTCGCCTGTGAAATGGGAATGAGTTACAGTAACTCTCAGGGTCGTGAGGATTCCGCAAGTTACAGCGCGGGGCCCTGAGTGCAGCGGGTGGCACCTCAGAAGCACTCGGTGAAGTGCCCGCGCTAGTCATGATACTGATAACTACATTCCTGACCTGGGATCCTCCACTATTGTGTAAACTTTTGAAAGAGTTAATTTATTGAAAAAATTATAACTGTACAGAAAGTGGAATTTGCCTCATCTGCTCCAAGCCCCTTTTCCCCCTGCCTCTTGCCCTTGACTGACGCGGGCCCCTCACCGTCTCATTTCCCCCTTGACAGCTCTGTTTCCACATGTCTCCTAGCCTGGGGTCTCCGCCACTCCCATCACCCCCCTTCTTCGGTGTCCCCCACTCACTGGGTCTTTCTCTCAGCGTCCTAATTCCAGACGCTTCATCTTTCTGATTTCCCCAGACTGAACTCCTGCTTCGCTGTCCACCTGGCTCAGGTCCCTGCTGCCAGCGAGGACGCACCTTTGGTGAGGTGGGGGGGGGGCTTGCTGTCAGCATCAGTATCACCCCTCTGCCCCTCCTGCCCCCTCACATCGGGGCTTCTCTTCTACTTCTCTGTTCATCACTTAACCCCAATCTTCCAGTTAACAGTAAACAAAAATAGTAAAAGGGTGTCCTTCTCACTACATAGGTATTAAAAAGTGTTCAGGAACAGAATACAATCAAGTGAAAACAATAAGCTATCCGTTCTTATTATTTTTTAAAAAATATGTCTTTATTGGGTTGAGAGAGGAAGGGAAAGGGAGAGAGAGAGAAACATCAGTGATGAGAGGCATTGCCTGTTACTGAATGCGAGCGGCTGGTCCACAGCTGCTTCCCGAGCCCCCAGCAGCTCCCCGGTGACCTGGCCCCTTTCTCTGCACCCTGTGATCCAGCACCTAACGGTTAACCTCAGGCACAGCGGGAGGCCTCAGGGACTGGCTTGAGCTGGTGGGTAACTATTCTGAGCCTCCCCCCTGGGCCTCCCCAGTGCCGTCGGTTATTCCTAAAGTGCTGGATTAAAGCAAATGCTTTGGGTCGGTCGTCAAGAGCACTGCATCCGTCTCCAAGGAACCGCTTAAGCTGTCCTGCTTGGAAGCATCTTGGGGAGCAGGGTGGGCTCCAAGCCACTCGGGGCTTTGGGGTTTGGGATAACAGGAGGTTTAAATCTCATTGCAAAATAGGGAGGGGGGAGGTTAAGAAAACAAAAGGGCTACAAGAAAACAAGTTGTTCTTTCTAAGGAGAGGCTGCGTCTTATGTTTTTGCCCACAGCGCCTAGCGGAAGGCTGATGCGTAAGTGTGCACACGAAAACTGTAGAGCAAGCCAATGAACGCACGAGGGGGTGGGTGCCTCCGGCTCCATCAGGGAGACGTTCTTGCTGGAATAATGATAACTCACGTTTATGTGGCAGTTTAAAGTTTACAAAGCGGTGCTTTGCACCTTGTAAATCTCAAATATATTTCTGATCTCTTCATTACTTTCATTTTTCCCCCTAACTTGTAGTTTCCTACACAAACTTTTTTCCACAGGAGGGTATGGAGTTGGCCAGGAAATCACAAACAGGGAGAAGAAATTGTAAATAATGGCAAATAAGGGATTCTTCTCAGGGAAAGAAATAGGATTTGTTATTGATTTTTTTTTTTTTTTAGAGAGGAAGGGAGAGGGAGAGAGAGAAACATCGACGTGAGAGCAGCATCCGTTGGTTGCCTCCTGTGCCCACCCTGACCGGGGATCGAACCTGCAGCCTAGGTATGTGCCCTGACTAGGAGTCAAGCCGGCCACTTGCCAGTGCCCAGGACGGCCGGCACTCAGCCAACTGAGCCACACCCGCAGGGCACCCTCCGCTTCTGTTTTAAGCACGTGCAGTTTTCCACCCCGATCCTGCTGCAGGGACCCACCCCCCTTCCCGCAGCTTGTCCGGCCCCCTCTCCCTGCCCCTCACCCTCCACCCAGCTAGCTCCTCCTCACCAGGACCCCCTCGGCCCCTCTCAGCCTCCACCCCGAGGTGGATTAGGGCCCCTGTCTTGCTTCCATAGCACCCGGCGGTCATCGGATTTACCGCCTTGGGCTGTAACTACACAGTTAGGTTGCTCGCCAGCTGAGATTGTGATCTCTTTGGCCGAGAGGTCATGTCCTCGTGTCGCAGGGTCTGGCACCAGGTGCTCCTAAAAGTAACACCTGGACACCCTTCCATCAGAATCTCGATGGGCAAGGCCCAGGAATCTGCTTTGTTTTAACCCGCACCCGAGGCGATGCTTAAAACCAGTTTGAAAACCACTGTGTCCTAAAACCTCAGATTAGCCGCACGAACGGGTTTGGGTGTTCGTGTCTTTCCTGTGCTGGGCTTCCTGTGCCCCGGGTCAGAGCTGACCACTGCTGGTGCTCTCGTGGAAGAGCCTGGGAGCTCCCCATGCTCCATGCCCCTCTCTGTTGCAGGGCGCGCGTTTCCCGGCGCCGGCTCTCCCGCCTTGGGCCTCCTCGGTCACGGGCCGCTCCTCGGTGAGCTGAGGCCCTGCCTCCCTCCCCGCCGACGCCTTTCTCTCGGAAGATGAACTCCACGGAGCAGCTGCAGGACGCCCCCAACTCCACGTGGCTGCCGGGGCCTCGGCCCGCGGGAGGGAACAGCACTGCCCTGCAGGAGGGTCTCCAGGGTCTCGTCCACGTGGCCACGCTGGTCACCTGCACCTTCCTCCTCGCGATCATCTTCTGCCTGGGCTCTTACGGCAACTTCATCGTCCTCTTGTCCTTCTTCGACCCGGCCCTCCGGAAGTTCAGGACCAACTTCGACTTCATGATCCTGAACCTGTCCTTCTGCGACCTGCTCGTCTGCGGCGTGACGGCCCCCATGTTCACCTTCGCGCTGTTCCTCGGCTCGGTGAGCGACATCCCCGACGCCTTCTGCTTCACCTTCCACCTCACCAGCGCCGGCTTCATCATCATGTCCCTCAAGACGGTGGCGGTGATCGCCCTGCACCGGCTGCGCATGGTGCTGGGGAAGCAGCCCGATCGCACGGCCTCCTTTCCCTGCACCCTGCTGCTCACCCTGCTCCTCTGGGCCACCAGCTTCACGCTCGCCACCTTGGCCACCCTGAAGACCAGCAAGTCCCACCTCTGCCTTCCCATGTCCAGCGTGATTGCTGGAGGCGGGAGAGCCGTGGTCTCCCTCTACGTGGTCGACTTCGCCTTCTGCGTGGCCGTGGTCTCCGTCTCTTACATCATGATCGCTCAGACCCTGCGTAAAAACGCCCAAGTCAGAAAGGGCCCCCCCGTCCTCGCGGTTGATGCTTCCAGACCACAGCCCTTCGTGGGGGCGCCTGTGACGGGGGCCGGAGACCCCGTCCCATGCACCGGGCCCGCGCTCTACAGGAACCAGAATTACAACAAGCTGCAGCACGTCCAGGCCCACGGGTACACCAGGAGCCCCGAGCGGCCGCCAGCCCCCGCCGCCAGCCGGCTGCAGCTGGTGTCCGCCGTCAACCTGTCCGCGGCCAAGGATTCCAAGGCCGTGGTCACCTGCGTGGTGATCGTGCTCTCCGTCCTGGTGTGCTGCCTCCCGCTGGGGGTGTCCTTGGTGCAGGGGGTTCTGTCCAGAAGTGGGAGCTGCCTCCTCTACCAGTTTGAACTGCTCGGATTCACCCTGATATTTTTCAAGTCAGGCCTAAACCCCTTCATCTATTCCCGCAACAGCGCGGGGCTGAGGAGGAAGGTGCTCTGGTGCCTCCGGTACGTGGGCCTGGGCTGCTTCTGCTGCAAGCAGAAGACTCGGCTCCGAGCCATGGGCCGAGGGAACCTGGAAGTGAACAGAAACAAGTCCTCCCACCACGAAACGAACTCTGCCTACGTGCTGTCCCCGAAGCCCCAGAAGAAATTCGTGGACCGGGCTTGCGGCCCGAGTCATTCGAAGGAAAGCGTGGTCAGCCCCAGGCTGTCCGCCGGGCCCCAGCCCTGCTGCCAGAGCAGCTCAACGCCCGTCCACACCCGCGTGGAGCCCTACTACAGCATCTACAACAGCAGCCCGTCGCGGGACAGCGGCCCGTGTCGCCTGCAGCCGGCCAGCGCGCTGGGGTTCGCCAGTTCCTACATCGCCATGCATTACCACACCACCAGCGACCTGCGGCAGGAGCTCGACGGCCCCTCCGCCAAGCAGATCCCCGTGCCCTCCGTTTAGAGTCCGGAGGCTGTGGCTCTTGGACCAACTGTTTGTTTCTGATACTAATTGACTTTTTGTTTCACTGTTGCCAGACGAGCAGTAGATCAAACCTTAAAGACTCAAACGGTTGGCAGTTAATGATTTTCTTTTGTCTGAAGTATTAGCATCTATTGGCTTGCTTTGTGATTTCTTGATATTTTAAAATTTAACGTAAAAGTTTATTATTTAGATTTTCACCCTGACCTGTGTTCCAGTCTTTTGTACTCAACTTTTAAGCAGATCGTGCTACTATGTTACAGTAGAGGATGAACCGATTGTGATCACTGGACTCAGTGTTGCGAGTCTTTGAAGCCTCTGCGAGCTGGATATTTTAAAGAATGTGAGGTACGAGCTGTTATTTTTATTAATTGAGTTATAAACTTTGAGTCTTTGAAGTGTTTAATTGGGAAGAAGGCACTTTTTGGGTAGCAGACTTATTTGAACAAATAATATATTGTTAAAACAGAAAATCAGAAATATATTATCTATAGCTATCCTTACCAAAAACACGCAGGCATTAGGTACTTTCCTAAGACAGTCAACCACGAATACAGTATTAAGATTTTTACCATTTCTTATTATAGACATTATTTTGTGTCAATTGAATAGCGATATAGTTTTATTTTTTTTTAAAGAAAGATGTTTTTCCCTGGTAAAGGTGCATTATTCTGCTGTGGAATGATCTTGCCCAAGACTGCTAGTGGAGAGGACCGCACCTGTGGTAGAGCTTTGCGGTTCCTGGGAGAGCCGGCGCCGAATGCGTCCGGGTGGCGGTGTGCGGGACGCAGTCTAGACGTGTGTTCTGGAGGATCTGTTACTGCCCAGCAAGGCGTAAGGATGAGGGTGGGAGTGTTTCGATTTATGCTTTCCTTCTGTGGGAGAATGGTTTGTTAACAATCTGACAAGGAGTACCCAAGTAACTATTTAGAGACCTTTTTTTTGGTCTTTATTTGTATATTATTGTGGTAGAAAAATTCTTAAGATCCATTTTTAAACCTAATTGTGTTATTTCTCTCGCATTCATCTTAAACTGGAGATGGGCAGTAAGGGAAAATAGATTAAGTATTTCTCTACCTAAAACAAACAAATATAATAAAATATACTCTGTGATCCCTAGCATAACAACTGTAAACTCATATTTTTATGTAAAAATATTGTCATTTACAGTTAGCATTTGAACTCGTAATAGTTTTGGAACTATAACTGCTAGACCCAAGATGAGCATCAAGATACAAAATCTGCCTTCATACATTGTTGCATTCAAGAACCGTTATTGCAGGTTGGAAGGCACTTTGCCTCCTCGGATGAAAGCTGTTCAGTTGATAGCTCCCTCTCCCAGGCTCTTCCCAAGTGCAGAGGTCATGAGAGGCCAGGATGCTCGGCTGCGACTCTGCTCAGCCTCACCTAACAACTCTTACCTTTCAGTATCAACCATTCATTCTATTTCTGAGACTGAAATATGAGATACGGGTTTCATTTTTTTTTTTAATTATTTGCCTTTTCGGACTCTCCCCTTCTTTCTTTATTTTTGCTATTCAATTTTATAATAAAAGAGAAAGTACCCACTCATTTTTATTTTTTTTTGTAATTGAATGCTATTTTTGGAAGTCACTATGAACTGTTTCAATTGTGCTTTTATATTTTTAGTATAACAGTGTTTTTATGTATTAATACGCTCATGAGATAGGTTAGTGTATCATCTCTTTTTTATCAAAGAATTAATGTATCTAATATCCTCTCCCAGGATCCTTTGAAGAACTGTGGTAGTCTAGGAATTAGACGTTTGTCTAAAATCAGAGCTTGGTGTTTATTCCAGTAAGCCAGGCAGCTTTGTAATTAATAACGTTAATTAAGAAGTCATTTCACACTTTTAAAGGTATGTATCTGGTCTGTGGCCAGGCATTTCAAATGTGAGTCAATAAAATATTTTTCTTAAAGTTATTTCTACTTGTAAAGTTAAAGATGATAGGTTTCCTCTGTGACCTTGGAGAGCACTTGGTTCATTTGGGGGGAGGCACAAATTACAGTGTGAAGAACACTAAGCATGTGCATGTGAGGCGCTCAGTGTCTTTATGCTCATCAGTAAATTACTGATTTAATTCGCATGAAATACATAGTGGGCTAGATTCTTAGCCCTACGCCATGTCTGCATCCTTACGCAGGTCTACAGATGGACGAATATAACTTCTCTCTTCATAAGGGCTAAAATGAGAACTAACAGTAGTGAGAATTCAGTTGAATATGACTAATTATCAGGGTGTGTTAATTAGTTCTCCTGATGCTTTACTGTGATGCAAACTGTGTGTGTGTTGCAAGCACTTTATAATTGTTCTGATGTTAACCATTAGGCCAGATTTGTATTTCTGATGCTTTTAATGTTCTTTTAAAATAATGTTTGGGAAATAAAAATATTGAAAATTCTAACAGTGCTGAATATCAGATTGCAGTACTATGACTTTTCTGTCCAATCATTTAAAAACTATCAGAGAATCACAGTGACCATTAATACACAGTAGGTAACAATGTATTGAAGCTCAGAGAGAGTTATTTTCCGTGAGAGATGAAATAATGTCTTTGGCCACATTTTGTAGCATGCGTAAATGCTCAGACTAACTAAGAATAACTCCAAAGGTTAAGTATTTATTAAACTAAGTTTCTCACCTGGCAGGAAAAGTCGAGTAAACATTTTTTTTTTTTAAATATATCTTTACTGATTTCAGAGAGAGGAAGGGAGAGGGAGAGAGAGAGATAGAAACATCAATGATGAGAGAGTCACTGATCGGCTGCCTCCTGCAGGCCCCGACTGGGGATCGAGCCCGCAACCCTGGCGTGTGCCCTGACCGGGAATCGAACCCCGATCGTCGGGATCCGAGGTCGATGCTCAACCGCTGAGCCCCGCCCGGCCGGGCCTGACTAAATGTTTTAAAAACTTCTTTAAAACAAGATTAAAATCTGGAAAAAGGTACAGAGTTTTAGAATTTTTAGTTTATCAGAGTTTAAGAACCAGAAAATACTAACTTCAGCAGAAAAGGATGCAACGCGATGCCTGCCGAGTCATTCGCAGCTCAGGGCTGGGGCAGGTCCCAGGAGCGCCTCCGTGGGAAACGCTGCGGCCGGCAGGGCTGTCACCCCGGGGGGGCTGTCACCGGCAGGNCTGTCACCCGCAGGGCTGTCACCGGCGGGGCTGTCACCCGGCAGAGCTGTCACCCGGCGGGGCTGTCACCCGGCAGGGCTGTCACCCCGGGGGGCTGTCACCCCGGCGGGGCTGTCACCCCGGCGGGGTTGTCACCGGCGGGGCTGTCACTCGGCAGGGCTGTCACCCCGGCAGGGCTGTCACCCGCTGCCACCAGGAGGGAGGAAGCAGGAGGCCGCCGTGGGCTTTCCACTTCGGGGGCACCCTGTTACTCAGAGGCGGGNCCTGCTGCCACTGCCGCTGCCCCCGACGAGCCCCCCGGCGCCTCGGGGCAGGGGGCCGAGCGGCACGCGCGGCCGCAGAGGAAGTTTGGCGTCGTGCATGTCGCTGGAACCCGACTTGCATTTGGAGCCCTAGCGCCCTGCGGACCTGGAAACGGCAGCTA